ATCCAAACAAACATGAACACACCTATCCCTCCAGGGACAAGGCAACTCAAGAGATAGGTAGGGAGTGCTTAATGTTGCCACCAACTTATGGTGGCCAATGGCCAAGAGAAATCTAAAGCTTTAAGTGGCACCTCAGAGCTGTTTGGTTAAATGTGCTGGTGCTCAGCTCAGCACTAATGGGTGTTCCTTTATACCACCCCTGCCACCAACTGTGAGATTCTTCACTTAAACACAACAACCAAAGAAGAGGGATCAGCCAAAGTCTTGTCTTCCTGAAGATACCATCTTTCATCTAAATTCACATTTCAAGGCCTAATTCTGATCCACGTTAAAATCTGCACTTCCAGTGATAAATAATCGCTCAGGTCCTAGACCCAAACCCTAAATTTAACATTGTGCACACAGACATGTTCCAGTTAAAGATGTATGTATTTCAGTTTAACTTCCACTACTGGTGAAGACAACTGAGGTAGACTAAAAGCATAGATAAATTGAACTAGTAGCCCCGAGAGCCTAAATACAGGGGACTATGAAGACAAACCTTCCCATATATTTGAATCCTAAAATGTATCCTGTACAATGTAGGAAGCAGTCTCCAAGAATTAATCTTAAAACTCATTAGCAAGGCTGAAGGAGGAAGGCAGAGACTTGAAGAAAATGCTTAATTTCTCAGCCTGGCTATTTTACATTTTTCAGAATTTAAATTATATTTGTCTAAAGAATTTCCCCCCACCCCAAAGGGGACAATGAGAGCAATGGCATGTTCCTGTGCAGAGGCCAGAAACGCTTCTCACAGGCTTTAAGACTTAAACTTCACATGCTGGCAGCAGGTCCAGGTCTTAACTACCTGGGGAAAGTACAGACAGTGAAAAGCTATTTGAGTTACTGAGTCTCAGCAGAGTTCCCTCCCCTTCCTCTGAAACATGGTGATTGACCTCCTCAGTCCTAACCCACTGCAATTAATCCCAAGTAAAATTATTTCAATTAAACCACCTTCATCACTCAAGTTACGTTGCTTGCTTTGGCATAGGAGAACCATGCACACGTAATCCAGTTACTTCACCTCAGCAGCAACTCTTAGCTCAGAAGTAGGAAAGTCACATGGCCTGGTGACTCCATGGCTTGTGACTGCCAATCCATACTTTTATTGCATTCAGTATTGCATTGCTATAGTCATAAGACGCAGCTAACTTGTGTTGCCAAGCACCTTTTTGCTGCATCATGCAGAATTATTTCAAGGAACTTAGTTCAGTGAAGTATATTTCTCTTTCATGTTTTACTGGAGACTGTCCCCTGCAGAGACAGAGCATCCTGCTGCTTTTCCATCTCCTGAAGAGCACACCCCTGCAGCTTTTCCTCTCCAGGTCCCCACTGCATAAGAGAACAAATCAAATTACTCTTACAAAAAAATTCAGTCTTCAGACTGTTAAATCTCACTCAAATGTGTATTTTGCTTGTCACTCCTTTTATTCTATTTTCATAGGAAGGAAGATCAACAAATTACTGCACAAAAGCATGTGAGCACTGGCAGGCAGTTTCAAAGCTATTGACAAAAAACAGTCTATTCACTGCAAGAGTCCTACTTTCACAATCTCTCTGATCAGGATGCAGGGGACTAATTCAACAGCTCCCAATGGAAAATACCTAGTGGGCATGTTTGATTTCTGAAGACAATGCTATACCATGGGGGGCTTTTCTCTACCTCCATCTCTCTACTTCCAACTCCTTTTTTCTGGCTGGGCTTTGGTTTGATTTTTTTTTTTTTTTTTTTAAGATTTGAATAATTTGCTCTGAAATACCATAGTAATGCTTAACTCCTACAAAATATACTTCTAAAAAAAAAAAAAAAAAGATGAAAGAAAAATGTTAGGGTGAGGAGGAGGGGGAGAGAACCTTTTCAGTAAGGCTGGGACCTTACTAAGTACTACTTTATTAGGGCAGGCAGCTGTCCACATTATGTGGACAATTTATATTAGTGAATGTCAAAAATACCTTGTATTGCAATCTGTTAATTAAAGAGAATCAGATCTAATGCAGGACTCAATTATTTCCACTCTTCCTAGAGTAAGACCATGCAATAATGCTGCTGAGTTCACAGCAATTAATGTGCTACCTGAAGCCTGAGTCCCTGCCACTAGCAAGTTAATTTGCTCCCTGCTCTTCAGACTGTGAGAAGGCTTTTCATACATGAGCCACAAGGCACATAAAAAGAGCATGTGAAAATTCATAACAAAGTTCACATTTTCCAATGTTTCCACCTCACATTATCACTGCACATAAGTACTGTTTCAGTACCATTCTTAGACTGTCAACAAAGCAAAATTCCATGTTTTACTCAAAGCTTTTCCAGTCATGTGTTAGAATCTTATCAAAACAGCACCCTCATTGTCCTCTTCATCAATATTGTTTGCTAGGAATCGAAAAACATCTAGTGCAGCTTATTTATCAATATATCTCTTTGGCTTCCAAAGTCCTGTGCCTATTTTCTTTTGCAGCTGAACTTAATTGAGGAAGTAGCCTGAGATATTTTGCAGGTTTCCCTTGAAATTTCTCACACAATACTGGCTACTCCTTATTTAATCCAGGAATTTTAAAGTTGAAAACCTGTAAAGACATTGCACTATGCTGTCAGCATCTGCTGTCCCTGTGACCAGTAAGCAAATGATAGATCTTTTCACTCATAATTCAGACATCACACTAAGTTTTAGGCCAATTCTGCAAGAGAGGGCAAGCTGACAACAACTTCGTGTTTTTCACTTCTTAGGCCATAGGAGCTTTAACCTGGAATTGCATCAGATAGCTTTTCAGTTCAGCACACACTTCACTTAGGTTTCTTTCCTCCCAAACGCCCCTGCATCACAAGTCTGGGTACAAACCCCAAAATTACCAGAATAAAGAGTTTTCCTTCTATTATTTCCAGATACTATCTAAATCCACAAGAAGCAGAGCTCAGCCCTTCGCACTGTTAAATCTCACAGTGGCTATGTTGAGCCTCAGAATTTTAGGTCCAAGAATACAGCAGTTAAAATTTTTATTAACATCTAGGACTGCCACAAAAGAGAAGACAAAGCATAAGGTAGGACCAGGAAGAATGCTGAAATTAGCCCCACCATTTTATGCTCTCATCAACAGAAGATGGCCTGCTACTGTAAGTACTGCAACTGAAATAAAGAATGACCTTCTGAAATTAAAACAGGGTATCAGGAATATCTGATTAGAAATGTAGAAAAGATGGACAGAATGGTTGAAACAGCAGCAGGCACAATGCTAGGGATTCCCTGGGTTATATTCTGAGATTTTGCTTGTGTTCTAAAATATATATTCATATTTAAAATTACAGTCATAGCAGCTAGCAAAAATGTAATTGATGTTTACAATGAACTGTGACACAGAAGAAAAAACATAGCATATGGCAAAATTATAGTATCTATCAGCGGAGATACTAGCATTAGGTGTAACATGGAATAAACTACCTGCCAACTTGAACTTTATCTTTCCCTCAGTTTTAAAACCTGTGTTGAGAGCAGAAGTGGAGATATTCCAACACATAGCATCACTATTGATCACCGGATTTGTGGGAGCACAAGACTAGTGGGCCTTTAGGATTGCTGTCTCTTTGATCTTCAAATCACACCATTTTCTGAAAACTGGTTTCACTTGATATTGTTCTCTCTTTTCACACAGGCTAAACTAGACCTGTGACTTCATTACACTGGAAAAAAAAAAAAGTACTTTTCTTCACAGAATTATTTTCAGATTGATTTTTACACCTACTTTGCCGAGAAATCAAAAGTTCAGAGCTCTCACAATCCCTTTGTCTTTGATCTCCAAACATGCATGTACATACACGCTATTAGAAGTCTTTTTGCACTTCTGCAGCTTTTCTTTGTTTCTACAACAATCTGGATGGAGAAAAAAACAAAGCCCTCTCCTCTTTCCCTCCTCCTCTTCCCCTTTCCCCCCCAGATGATCTGCTTTTAATCATAACTAACATTTAAAACAGACATTAGAAAGGAGAGGCTACTCCTTTATAATTACAAACTTGATAATTACCTGGTGACTTGTAACAGACCTGTTTTCAATGCATCTTCCTCCCTCTGTCCCTTGATAATGTAATCTAATCTCTTGGCTACGCTTTCATCTGGCATCCAATGCTGCACATTGTTTATCAAACAACAATCTTTTCATAGTCAATGACAGAACAAAGGCAAGGAAGAGCAACTGTGGTAATACTACAGCATTTACCACTTCAAAAGTAACTGCATCAGTATAATTTACATTGCTTGTGTGCTTTTTGTTTACCTCTTTTAAATCTAGTTTTATCTCCTCTATGCAAGACTGCAACCTACTTCACCCTTTTACTGGACTCTCTATATTTACACATTATAGAAGCCATTGTGCACAATGTCAAAAGTGGAAGTCAAAACTGGAAACATGGTTTCCAAATGCAAAAAGCTGAGTTATTCCATGCATGGCTTCATATTTGAAAGCACAGCCATTTTCCATGACAGGAAAATAATGTGCTTTAGATTACTGGACTATCACTAAGTCTTAGCAATAATGTGTAATGACTATTTTTTTAAAACATGTTTTACTCTCTCAGTGTCACAATTAGAAATTCTGATAAGACTCTAAACACAAGTTCTAGCCCTCAAACTTCTTATACCTAAAAATGGAAGGGAGGTCAGGCTGCTGAAATTTCATCTTTGGATTTCTGGGTCCAATGATCCTCTTTCCTAAAGACGTCTGTACTCCGTATTCCCTATGTGTCTTACCCTTCCCTAGTTCCTCTCATCCACAGCTTAGAACAAGAGGATCCCTGAAACATCCCACCTGTGGTATGTTCAATTCTGATATAACAAAGATTCAGGGCCCTAACCCCCTGGTATTTTGACAGTTTACAACTACAAGGACTATAAATAGTAGCATAGTAGTAAAAATAAATCTGCATAAGTAATCAGCAGCTTGGTACAAAATCAGACAGAAACAACTAGGCTCACCTGTATAAAGGGTATCTGCAGATCCAAACTAGCACTAATCACTGAATCCCAAGCTTCATCACTCTTGTCAAGTGTCTTTCAACACGAAAAAAAAAGGTAACACAAATAAAAAATAAATCTGGGTGAAGAAAGAGATAGATGAGTACGAGGTATACAAATATATAGTACCACACTAATCTGAGCTTTAAGATCTTTGTACCAAGAGAATCTGAATACAAGTATTACTAGAAAAGAAAGCCCTCAAGTACCACTCTGAGTCACATCAGCATAAGCCCTTCACAGCCCTGGCTGTGCATGTATTGATGACTGATTATCGAAGCATAATAGCTTTATGGTACCTGACACTGACCCAAACTAATACTGCTACTAAAATGGTAACACACCTCCCCCACTCACTTTTCATGTGATTTGCACAGATTCAGGGAGAAATTTCATCTTCCTTAACCGTAAGTTGAAGCACGCAGCTCTGACAATGCTCTCTGAAGATACACCATAACCTCCTACTTAAGAGGAATGAACCAATGAAGGACTGAGATTAGTAAATCAAAGAACAGAAAAATGTGGTTGTGTGGGTGTGAGCATGATGCCAAGTTGCAATGCTGTTTCAGTCTCTGATGGAAAACACTGTTCCAGGACAGGCAAATCAGGTCAATTCTGGAATTAAAGGTAGGCAAAAAGTGATGACAGCACTACAAGTCAAGTGTGAGATTGGTATATTCTTCCATAATTCATTAGGTAAGAGATCCATTCACTGAAGTACCAACTTATTAACTAAAGCTAAGTTAACTAACATTATTTTAAAAAAAAAAGTAGTAAAAAATAAACATTTTCTTAAGGTATCTTTGCTCACTTAGTAAAGTCAAAAGAAAACGAAAGACTTGGTAAAAAGTAATAATTATCCTTCATCACAATATGATTTCAGAGGCGTTTGTAATAACGGTCTTTGCAGACATTCATAGTTATAAGGAAACTCATAAGGACAAGCAAAGAGAGTTAGGTCAAAGCTTTGCTGACAGAACAGAAAACTGTTCTGGTTCTCCAAAAAGAGGAAAGGCCTCAGGACCTAGTTATCCAACTAAGCTAATATTTAAAATAAATAACTAACTCACAGAATATATCTTTCATTGATAGTAATTTTTGCAGAAATCCAAAGCACTTCAGATAGGAATGCATAATAAAACATTTTTCTAAAAGCCACTCCTGTGAGAGAACAGCAGTTATGAAGCTCTATCTTGAGCACAGAAAGAGGGAGCTAGAAGAGTACTATCTAATTTCTTCAATGCCAGCACTTAACCCCAGATCACCTCTGGCGATCTTGTGAGAAGCAGGGCACTTGGTTTCCTCTTCATTGCTCCCCTCATGCACAAATGAAGTTGTTATGACACAGAACAGGTGTGGAGCTTTGACTCAACAGCCACGCATGTATACACCTATCACTTATGGGACCACTTATACTGTCTTCTGCCACAAGGTTAGGCTGGAGGTGAAAGCAACAGTGCCACATCCTATCAATCTGGCAGCATGCACACAGAACCAGTTTCTCTGCATTTCTTAAGTGAACAGACCCTACAAGAGGTGTCCTTCCTCCAGCTTTGGTATCTTCTGCTTTAAGGGTGTGGGAAAAAAATCCCAAAAACAGAAACGAGAAAAAAAAAAAAAAAGAAGGAAAAAATAGAGGAAAAAAAAAGAGAAAAGAACAAAGAAAAAAGAAAAAGAAAAAAAAGGAAAAAGAAAGAAAAAAAGAAAAAAGTGCACTCTGACAAGCTTTAAAATAAACAGAACAGATCTTAACCAAATGAAAAGTTTCATCAGCATGCTAACCATTTAATTTCCTCCCAATGACTTGCCTAAGAACAGTGAATAATTAGATGGTATTTATTTTTAAGCAGTTACACTACCCAATCACAAAGGCAACAACAGTGCTGTAATTGGGCCTTAACAACTTTTGCACCTGAACCTTTCAGTAAGATCCTCTCACAGCAATTCCATTTAGTTACCCCTCACTTATTTTAATGGGTCATGAGAAGATACCCAGGATAACTTAAAAGAAGGTAATTCAGGTACCAGTCATACAGTTCAATTAACCCCCAAACTAAACACAGACCCATTTCTCCACACCAGGTGTAAAGCAACACTCCTGCTGTTGCTATCGTACTGGTATCTCGTACCTGGTTTGGCTCAGGTCCAGTTTCTCTCTGTGCCGCCCAATGTCAGGTCAGACAAACAGACTGATTGTCCTCCTTTCCAGTCATCTGGTTCTCCAGCTCACATGTGCTTCTCACACAAGTGCAGGTAACAAAACAGTTTATACAAGAAGCACTGCCAATCCACCCGTCTCTCTGAAACGCCTCACTTATTTAATAAGTATCTACCCATTGTTCAATGCACGCTGGTTGCTACCAAAAAACCCCTAAATTCTGGAGCAGTTGCAAGTGTTATAATACTTCTGCATCTGTTTTTGCATCTAAACTCCTGGTATTTCAGCAGCCACATCTTTAGTTGGGTCCCGGGCAAAGTTGATGAGGGCGGGGAAGGCAGTATGCACACTGCAAGGGCTCTGCAGCTGCAGAGTCAAAAGGGAGGGAGGAGAGGGACCTAGAGCACATCTTCAGCTCCCTTCCATAATTCTGTAATTAAAAAAAACCTCTCAGTGATGAAAAAAATTCCACAAGTGCCACCAATTTAGCAAATGACAGCTACTGCCCACAACTTATACCACACAAACAATTCTTGGCAAGCACAAAAGTTAACAAACCTGCAATAGTTACTGGATAGCTGTTGTAAAAATGACAAACCATGGGTGAATCACAGCTCTATTAGACACCCGTTACCTCAGTCTATAGGAAAATTGCCATAATTAACCTTCACGTTGCTGTTTCCCACCTTTCTTACCTTTTGTGATAAAAGCTTCGCATAGTTACTACTTCGACTTTACTTTTTACTTTAGTGTAAGAATCGTGCTATGATTTTACAAAAAGAACATTTATCAAAGTGTGTTTAAAAAAAATTAAAATGGTAGTTATTTTCTCAGTTTTCTAAGAAAGTACTGTAACAGCTGAATAAGGAAAGGTTATTTTAACCTCCAAAGGCTATTGTTCCTTTTTTAATCCCCGAAATTGTCTGGAGCCAGACAGCACATGGCTGCTGTGCCCTGAGCTAGAATGAAAGAGGGGGATGGTAGAAGTGGGGTGTCTGTTTACAATTACTCCATTTCTGGTTTTAATGAATCTTTCTGAATGACCACTAGGCGCTGGTTTTGTTCTTTGGAACAAGGGGCCTATTACTGGACTGAAAATGGAAGGAAAAGGGAAAGCAACACAAAGCTGCCAAACTCAAAAGTGTTTCAAACTTCTCAGCTGTATGTCCTGGAGGTAATCTGCTCCACAGGCACAAGACTGTCCCTACACATTTGCAGTCTCTTTTCTCCCTCTTCCTTGATAGGCTGAAATAAAACAGCTGAGCTAAGGGGGAACAAGAGAACATCAGAACTAAAGTAAAAATTCAGATGTCTACTAAAATATGAAGAATCACATTATTAAAATTTGGAAAACTATAACTTAAACACTATCGACATTCGGTTACTTCTGCCACCTGCAAGTAAGCCTTCCAGAACCACATAAGCAACCAACTTCAAGAGGAAGTTGGATCACGTCTGTTTTGCACCATCTGTCTTGCACTATCCTCTGCCTTCCCAGAACTCCCTTACAGTCGCCCTCAAAATCTCGTCTGCCATTCCCGAGACAAAATACAGCAAAACCCCTGTCCTGCCTCCCTGCTGCACACACACACTTCCCCTCCCCCTTCCAGGGGGCAGAAATTATAGTTAAATACTGGCCAGAAATTTAAACTTAAGGACCAAAAATTTGCAGACCACCACAGGCAACCTTGAGAGTCTTCACTGAAGATCCTGAGCATTTCACTGAGGAATCTGGATTCCCTAGGCTGGGAAGGTTGCAAAGCATCAGACCTTCTTAGTCCAGCAATCTGATAAACGAAAAGGTATTTTAAATTCAGCTCTTATATTCAGTATCTTAAATATTGTCCTTTCTTACAGGCACAGGGAGGATTATATCTCATGATTAACAAAAAAATATCATAACATATAATACATTTTCCTTCAATAAAGTTGTTTTGAAAAAATTATACGGTACAGCCATATAAAAATGGTACTACATGGTTTGTTTTGTGTAGTGTGGCTTAAAAGCTCTACTGAGACACATTTAGATAAACCTCTTTACAGCCAAGGAGTTTGAATAATACTGGCATGTCAAATTTATGATGGCAAAACCATCATGTACCTCAGCAAATGTCATCAATCTACTTTACTGAAAATGATGCTTAGAAGAAAATACCTTTTCTCTAAGTCTTAGGAAAAAAAAAAAAAAAAGCTGTATGTGTCCAACACACATATAGCCATTATTATACAAAACAGTACCTATTTTACCACACATATCTTTAACAGAGATGTTGTCATCAGCACAGGAACATTACCTGCGTATTTCCCATCTTTCAAGCTGAGCATGTATGTACAGACTTGGAACCACTATGACATATTTGATTACAAGAAGTTGCATTATCTTTATGCTTTCTATGTGGCAACCATATTTTGCCTTTCAGCTTTCCTGCCATGGTGGCTATAATGCACATCTCCCTTGCAAGGCAACTTGCAACTCAAGACAGGTAAGTTACCCCACATTTACCACAGCAAATAAGTATGCGCCATGCAAAAGAAGAGTTACCCCAATAGATGACTACCTCTGATGCTGGTTGTGAATCAAAGCCTTCAAGTGTTCACTTGGTGAGGATCCTCAAAGCTCCAGGAATCAAAGGGTGACTAATATCATCACTTATAAGGACTTGAATTCATTTTAAAACATACACATGTTTTATATTTATGTAACATTTCTTCTTAAAGTCTGGATAGCTTTATTAAGAAATTCCATTGTGTAATCTGGTCAAGCTGCTCATTTCAGTGACACTGACAGCGATTGTTACGAGCTATTTCTTTCTTCTTTGATACTTTTAAAAAATCAATACTTTCATTAGATACTTAGCACTGTTAGCCACCAGTCAGC